TATATATATATATATATATATATATTTACAAAGAGTTCACACTTGACCCATACTTACATGGAGAAACATAAATCAAGATGCATGCTGCTTTAATTTGTCAGGGGCGATCAACTAACATTGCAAACCTTGAATACGACTGCCAATATCATCAAAATCCAGCCGCATAAGGTCACAATAACATCACGGTGAATAACCCCAAGCTTTGTAACTCTACGATGAAAAACACCAAGCCTCTTGAAAATGCGTCAAGGAAAACACCAAGTGGTAGCGCGTCGTGCTGAAGGAAATATACCACGTGGACCAATACCACACAGAATAACTCGAGCAATAAGAATAACACGAGGAATAATACCAATACCACATGAAATAACACGAGGGAAAATATGCCATGGTGGGAGAATAACACCAATACCACGGGGAATAACACGACGGATAACACGGGGAATAACACGGGGAATAACACGGGAAATAACTTAATGAATAACATCAATAACTCACGAAATAACATGAGGGAAAATATGACGCGATGGGAGAATTACACCAATACCACACGGAATAACACGAGAAATAACGAGGAATAACAGGACGGATAACAAGAGGGATAACTACAAGACCGGAAAACTATCACGAATAACACTTGAAAAATTGTGGAATGAAAGATGTAGAGTGCGAGATACAACTGTCCAAAACTCCTATAGCAATGGATATATATAGATAATATTGTAAACCCTACCTCATCAGCTTGACTCCCTTTATTCGAACATATTTGTATCGGCTTAAACTCTCGTTCAAGAGAAAAACCAACCAAGGTCTTTCTCCTCCTTTTTCAAGTCTCCTCTCTTACACACACATGGCTTGCTTCCTTCTCCCTTCTACCTTTGCGCACGAGATGCATGCATAAAATTTTCTCCCTTGCACGCGAGCACCTACTTCAAGCCCAACAGCTCAAATCGATTCTACACTCACATATGAGAGCCCAATCCTCTCTAATATTTGGCTAGGGTTTGGGCCGACTCTTCTTCCTCTTGGTACCTGCACTCAGAGTTGATGTCTTCACTCCGTCAAGAGCACAAACACTTGCTCTAGTTGAACGTCAGTCATATCGCTTCTTCACACCGGAGACCTCGACGCATTTCAATCATCTTGCTCCTTTAAACTGGAGTCATCGACATTCCAACTGGAATTCATTCTCAAGTTGGATAATCACAGGACTTCATCTTCTCCCGCTTTTGATCTTATTGACTCTTCTTCCTTATCTATATCTATCTCTCAATCGTTCTTTAATTCATTCCCTCCGGTTCGAATGTAATGTTCAATACAGAAAAAGAACTCGATTAAAATAATAATTGGTTCGGATCATCATGTCTAAAATAAATTTTTTTATTTTATTTTATTTTATTTTATTTTTTCCGGTTATTACAGTAAGAGTGTTGCACATGTGAGTCAGTCATAATTTTTATATAAAGTTATTTAGTTTTAATCAAATTATCAATCAAAATTTTATTAAATTTAAAATTTTCATTTTTAGTTTTGAGAATTTATTGATCAAATTAAAAAAAAAAACATAATAGGAATTTCTAAAGAAAATTTTATATTATCATGAGGATTGATTAATTAAGAGATTTATGAAATAAACTTTTAGAGATATAATTTTATTGTTTGTGCATATATGAATAGACAAAATAAATTTATTGTCAAAATTTGATCATAGGATAAATTATAACTGTTTAATAATTAAATCATAAAGTATGTCAGATAAGATTGTTAGAATCATGGTGATAATCTTATAATGTAATAAAAATCAAATCAATTAATGATATTTAAGAAGATATCTATATGTTATTATAGAATCTCGTAAGATTTTCTTAGTACAATTGAAAAAGTTAGAAAATAATAATAATATTAGTTGAAGAAATATGTTCAATGATTTTAGCAAATGATCAAGTAAAGGATAAACAAGAAAAAGATCTAATTATATAGTAATTCAAAAATATCTCTATTATTATAAGAGTAAATTAGAAATGTTTCAATTATAAATAAGATTAAACTTTTTATTTAAATTAACATGAATACTTTTCTCATGATTATATGTATTTTATTGTAGGGGCGTTTCAATACTTAAAAGCAAGCAAAATCGTTTGGAAGCATTGTGAACACTCTTACATTTATTCTATGGTAGTGTTTTGTTTCTTCTCAACCATTTACTAACACATGTTAAATTACGTTGCCCAAGTATTATTTTGATTTATATGCTCTTCTATTTATTATTGATATCATTTTGGATGTTATCTTCTTATTATTGATATCATTTTGGATGTTATCTTCTTATTATTGATATCATTTTGGATGTTATCTTCTTATAATAATGGCCATTATAAATTATTTAAAGATTTATAAACTATATCTTCTGGAATGTGATGAGCATATGAATGATATGAATTATATAGTTTGCTTGCTTGCTCATGTTTACTATGATGGAGTTCACTCCTTTATGGTACTTGCGAAGGATGATAAGGTATCCATGCACATAATTGAAAAATTTTATTGATATTGACGTATCTTAATTGACATAATTTTTTTTAGATGTTACTATTGTGATAGTATGTATGTATGTATCTATATATTTTTGTGTGTTTGTGTGTGTGTGGTGTCTCTCTCTCTCTCTCTTATATATGTGTGTGTGTCTCTCTCTCTCTCTCTCTATATATATATATATAGATATATTTCTATGTATAGAATTATATATGTATGTATGTATGTAGGTACATACGTACGTATATGCATTTATATACATATATAAAAATATAAATATTTAATTGATATTGCAAGACTATTGAATGCTTTGAATCATCCTAAATGATCATATTGAAAAAGTAAAGTATCAAATGCTTTATACTGATTTATTATATGTTTAACTAGTATGCATATTATTATTTTTTCATTATATTATTATAATTTATAAAAATTAATACTCACTGCCTTTTGTGGTTCAGTATTGTTTTAAATTAACGTTATTAAGTGTAAGCTTTTGTTTAAGTATAAGTAATACGAAAGACACTGTATATAAAAGATAGTACAATTTGACATAAGCTAAATTTAACTATATTACTTTATTTCTTTTCAGCAGTCTCTATTTAATTTATTTTTGAATGATTAAATGTTAATTATAGAAAATAAAAATAGAAAATTTTGATTATCACTGTTTGATCATCCATTCCCGTGTTGAAAATTTTCAAGCTCTCGGTTGGGTCACGATTGCTCCTAAAGCATTTTTGTTTATGAAAACAAACTATTTATTTTTGCTCATTAAATTACTTTTTTTGGTAGGTTATTCAATTAAACTTCTAAAACTTTTACTTTTAAGCTCAATAAACCGTTCATAAAAAACTCGAGGAAGACACCATATAACTATTCATTAAATAGCTTTTTTATTGAGTCTTAAATTAGCATATTATTGAGCTTCTTGATGACTTCTTTATTAGCTTTAAATGATATTGTTTATGATCAATATTAGGTTGTTTGAGCTTTTTTGATTAATCTATTAAACGATCATGAACAAGCTTTAACCAAATATAAGTTCTAAAAAACGTACTTCGCTCTTCAGTGGATATGATTTTGGATTTCTCAATTGTTTGTTATAAAGTTAAGAGTCCTTAACAAAATGCTGTCCAACCTCATGTTGGATGTAAGCACATCTTGTCTATCTTGAAGTATCCGTTTTGTGTATTTGTTCTTGTGGTTCAAGTTGAATGCATCAACTCGCTTGCCAGGCTTCTAATAAATAATATTTTTATGAACTTACGGACTGCTCATTGCTTGTGCAGCGCATTCGAATTGAAGACATTAGAAATGATGACTGGTTTTTGAAGAATTATGTTTCTGCCACATATGTTGAAAATGAGGATGTTAACCTTGATGATGTATATGCTGTTTTTGATGATCCTGAGGTAATGCTTTCTTAATGTTTTTTCTTGCTGTCACTTTCGTATCTTATATTCCATCTTTATAAATCAAACCCCTATGAACAGTTTACAGCTTTGGTTAACTTTTCTTTTGTTGTCAATGCCCTGAGAGCTGGCATCTCTATACAAGGGAAAATGCTACAATAGTTTTCATTATTTGCTTAGCATGCTGCATCATTATGTTAGGCCATCTTTATAAACCTATGTACAGTTAAAATTAAACCCTATTTACAATTTGCATCTTTTATCAAGTTTTCATTTGTTGCTATGTATTGATGCTCGGTTTTATAATGAAAATTGATGCATTTAGTTGTCCTGATTTTTTAGGTTGCTGCACAATTATGTCAGATAGCCCGTGCAAAGAATTTAGAAAATTTTTTGTTATATCTTGAGCTTCTAAATGAACATTATTTTGTGGAGTTATTATATTATTTTATTTGATGTCCCAGAAATTCAAAGCATCTCCAATAAGGATTTCTATGTACTTCTAAACTGGCTTTTGTGTTCTCGTAACTCTTTTAACTCTAGATGCAACCCCTTTTAATAAGTTCCTAAATGGAAGTGTCAAAAAAGGCATACTCATTACATTAGATTGTCATTGAGCGTAGGTTCTAATGAGGGATTGATATATAATGGCTTTCACTTAATATTCATCACCATCATTAGTCTTATCACAAATTTTTGGATTTCAGTTATATGAATCTTTAATTTTCATTCCATCCATGTTATTCTAGCTCCACCTCTTTTCCTGGATAATTAACCGACAAAGGTTTTATCAACCCATCTAATATGTTATTTTTCGCCCCTTCATTTTTTGTTAACATATGCTCTACTTATGTTATTCCCATTGTTCTACTTAGGTACTCGTCTAGTTTTCCCATACATTCATTTCAGTATTCTTATTTACACCATACTCAACATCGAAGACAACATTTTTTATTGCTCAAAACTCAAATTCATACAAATTAATCATTATAATTGAATTTCTGGAATTTATATCGTTAATTCTTCATATTATTCTCTTTTTGTATAATCTTCTGATGCACTTCTCTGTTTTAACCAACTAAGCATAACTCTAGAAAATGTATTGTTACCATATTTATTACTCTGTATGACAAATCCAAAATAACTAAAACTGTTAGACCTATGTAATGCTTTATCTTCTAACAATGTTAACTGATAATTGGTCATATTATACCTTTTTAAAGTTACTGACATATACTCAGTATTGTTCCACCAATCGTAAGCCCTTTATCTCATTAAGTATTTTTTTCATTCTCCCAAAATTTCACCTGTTTTTTTAACTGACTCATCCCTTAATGGGCCTCCCTTAATTTGCACTTGACTTTTATATGAGGTGTAATTCTGAGTCAAAATCTCAAACGATAGGTTGTATTGCCAATAAGATACTACTTAGAGATTTCTCCATTATTTTATGAGTATTATATGATATAATTCCAAGTTTCCAATCAATGCATGCCCCTATAATTAATTACTCATTCTGATAATGACATAAAACTTCTATTAAGATTATTCGATCAACAGTAATTGCTTAGCTTATAGTATCATTAGTTTTGGGTTTTGATTGAGAAAAATTATCACCATTAGTTTAGAGTGACTGATAGAGTAATGATGACAAGCTCGATTAAGATTTCATGGTTCTATGCTTTTGGGGTTATTGTAGACCATAATTTAGAGGAAGTAATAAAAAAAATGATCTAAAGATTCTTGTCAATAGTCATGTGTTGTGTCTTCCAAGATAACTTTTTTGAGTTGTGAAAGATTATCTAAGGGGATAAATTGAAGTCAATCTTAACTAATAGGTGGTTTCATACCCCTTCAAGTGCACATCTACTGGGAGATTCGGGCAATTAGGGAGCTTATGTACTTTAATCATGGCCATTATTTAATGTTACTATTTTTTGGTAAACAACCCAATAGAGGACTTTGATTATAATCGTACCTTTTATAGTACAATTTAGCAGCAAAGCCACTCAATTTGATAGCACGTGGCACGTTCTTTTATTAGTATATAATTTTTTAGATTGATTATAGGTGTGTGTTTTTTATGATATTTATTTTTTATGAGTTGAGGTCAACTTAAGATGGATGCTTTTTATTGGCAATACTCTCGTCCAAGCATTAGTTTCTGTTATCATATAAAAATATTAGGAAATTAATAGTCGTAGAAATTTTTTCAATGCTTTGAATAAATCTTATCATCATTCTCTAATACTCAGTATGGGGGGACCGAGCTTCTAGTGTGTAAGGAGGTACCCATACATATACAATTCGAGGCCTAATTTTCTTACCATCTCTCTCTTCTTGGGCTCTGCTCAACTCGGCCCAGACATCCTTGCCTATCTAGATGGGTCTTTGCCACTTCTTGCGGATATTAGTGAACTTATTTCTCTAGTGTTTTTGGCCTCATGTCTCGAAGTTTCTTTGAATTTACTGATGATGCTCAACATCTCACTAGAAGTTTTTATGCAAAATAAATCTCCAATATTGTTTGTTATTATAAAAATGTAACTTAAGATTATATACATATCACAAAATTCTTTTATATTTACATATCTCATACCTATGATTTCATATTTACACACATAACACTCAAATTCTTAACATTAAACAAAAATTAACAAATTTAATAAAATCACACTTTTTTCATGTATGGGTTTAAAACAACAAATTGCTATATATATATGTAAATATGAAAATTTAGGTGTGAGATATATAAATACAAAAGAATTGTGTGCTAGGTATGTAAATTTCTCAACCCTGAAGTAATAATGCTAGAAGAAATTTGTAAATACATAAGCATTGAGTGGTATGTATGCAAATCTTTTTAATCCTAAATAAGAAAGGGGCATTTATGCACATATCACACAATTCTATGTATTCACATATTTATTTCCTAATATTTCATATTTTACACATTAGCACTCAAATCCTTAATATCACACCAAAAATAGCAAATTTAAACCTTTTTAAAATTAAACTTCATGCATAAGTTAAATCACTAAATTGCTACGTGTAGATATGAAACTTTAGACGGGAGATATGTAAATATAGAAGAATTGTGTTCTAGGTATGTATATTTTCCAATTCTAAAATAATAAAGTAAATAGATAAGAATTGAGTGGTATGTATACAAAACTACGTAACCCTAAATAAGATAGGGGCATTTATATACATAGCACATTCTTATGTATTTACACATCTCGTAACTAAACTTTATTATTTACACACTAGCACTTAAATCCTTAACATCATACAAAAAATAGCAAACTTAATCTCTTTTTAAAATTAGTGAAGAACAGCTTTTCATGCATATGTTTAAAAAATAAAGTTGCTATGTATGTAAGTATGAAACTTTAGGTTTGAGATATGTAAATACAGATGAATTTTGTGCTAGGTATTTAAATACATATGAATTGAGTGGAAAGTCCGGAACAAATGAAGTTTAGGTGTTAGATATGTAAATCCATACATACGAATTAAGTGGTATATCTCTAAACCTAAACCCTAACTCTAAACAAGCAGTAGAAATTAAAGTTTAAGTATTACATATGTAAATACATACGAAATGAGTGGTATATTTGCAACCCTTGCCGATACAGTGAACCAAGGTTCTATGCTGAGAAAGAAAACCACATCATTGAGAGAGAATACCAGGAGATTGAGCATTAAAGGGGGAGAAATACTAGGTCTACCTTTTGCTGCTGGAACCGAGCAATGGTGCGGTCTCCGAGCAAAATCCTGCTCGCCAAGCATTGCTGAAAAAGAAAACTAGGTCACCGTCGAGAGAGAAAACTGATGGAGGTAGGGAAGAAAAATGAGGTATTGGGCAGCTGGGTTTGATATAATATAGATTTCTGGCTGATTTCCGGTTGAAATTTTAGCCGGTAATTAGTCGATTTGAAGTGACAGTTACCTATTGGAAGTTTCAGCCGATTTTTCAGCCTTCACAATTTGCTGGCTGAATTTTCAGTCAAATTTTCAGTTGTTGTAATAAACCAACTGAATTTCAGCTGGTTATTCAGCCTCTGAGCTGTGCACAGCCATTCCGTTTCATCTTTGGCCGGTAAATAATCGGTTGAGAAAGTCAGCTGGTATTTCTGATGATTCTCCTGTATTATTAGTCCTAAAATCTATAAAAGTGTCAATTTAATTCCAAAACTCTTTTAATATGGGCTGAAAGTCCTAACAAAGGATAATTTCAACCCTTTTTAAAGAGCTTAGCGATTAAGTGGCACATTTATAAATTTTTGAACTAAAATGGCCCAATACAAACAGTTAGAGAACTATTTCGACAATTTACTCAATTCTGAAGGCTGTGAGGTATTGATCTTGTTTACTCGTTCTACTGTTGAAAAATATATTGATGTAAAATTGCCCTTACCTATAAAGCCTAAGCATTTAGGTTGGAAATAGGTTTGATAGCAATTTTGATCCCCTTTAATTTAGTCTCCCTAAGAAATGATTTAACATTTTCCGTGGCAACAAAATCTATCTTCTGCAGATTTATTTAGATTTTATGGACTGCAGAGCTTACCGCTTACAAAATGTGTATCTCCTGTAGGAACATAAAGCTTGCGAGCCCTTAGGAAATGATGACGTGGCCCCTCTGGTTCTCAATGCATTTGATCTCATTACTTTATCCCAAGGATTGAACCTGTCAGCACTTTTTGAACGGAGACAGGTAGTATTTGCTATTCTAAATCATTTTTTCTCGCTCATTTCTCCACATTCCAGTACTTGAACAGTTTTACCCTCTTCCTTACTCTATGTTTCACTTGATTTTGTACCTCGTCATTTCAAATTGTGAATACGTTGTAAAGATATGCATTTTAAATATTTTGTAAGGATTTATTGTGATGATTATTTCAAACTATAGAGCTCATCTCAATTCACTAGAGTTTCAAAGTTATTGTGCTAAGGGTCCATTTGATTTTCTGTAGACATAATTTATTTGAAAATGATTCTTTTCCCTTATTATGTGTGAAAATAAAATATTACAAATGGAAGGTTTGCCAAATTTAAAGCACAACCAAACAGTTAATCTAGCACTTTCTGATTGTTTTCTAAAATATGTTTTTATCAATCAGTAGTCAAATAGGCCCTAAGAAGAGTCTTATTAACTATAGCACATGCATTTGTTATGTCGATGCCTAGCCTAAGGGTAATTTTGTTTTTTGTATGCCTAAGGGTCATTTAGTCTTTTATTATTTTTTTTTTGGGTATAAATAGACTTATTATGTTAGGGTTAGGCTTAGGCATGAGATTGAGTATTATATTTTAGGTTTTGGGTTTAGGAGAGATTTCCTACCTCTCGAACTGTAGGAATTGGGAGAGATTGCCTACCTCTCAAATTTTAGGTGCTTATCTATTGTATTTGATTGAGTTATTAGTGTTATATTGATTTGATTTAGTGTCTGGAAAATAAAATTTGTGTTTGCTATAATTTATGTGGAAAATTATGCCGATTTTGATGTCGGATCGTGCCAAATTGGTGTCAGAGCAAGTTTGGGAATCAAATGTTGGAGAGGGAAGCCAAGGACGGGATGGAATCATTCAGGCATAGTGCAGTAGAGACGATTTTGGCATACAATGATGGAACTGACGACAAAAAAGCATCGTCGGCGACTAGGAAGTGGCATACAAAGACTTGAAACTCCATTTTCCTCCTCAACTGAGCGATATAGTCGCGCTCAGGGTTCGCGGAAAAGGGGACGACAAAATCGCGGTGTGCGATCGAACAAACGAGAAGCATAAGAAGGTGCCTAAGCAGGCCGGAAGCGCATAAGATCATCAAGGAGGTACCTGCAAGATTGTGTGGTGTTCATCAGTCAGGCCCGAAAATGAAAATGAAAATCAAGAGAATGCGTTACTACTGGCCGACGATGATCATCGACTGCATGGAAGTTGCCAGAAGTTGTCACCAGTGTCAGATACACGGAGTGGTCTTGCATCAACCTCCGAATGTCGAATGTAACCTCCGAATGTGTTGCACCCTACAGTAGCATCGTGGTCATTCGAGTGTTGGGGCACAAATATAGTGGGTCTTATAGATCCTCCGTCGTCAAAAGGGCACCATTTTATTCTCGCTGCAATAGATTATTTCTCAAAATGGGCAGAAGCAGTACCGTTAAGAGAAGTCACAGCGCATCACGTTCTTCAATTCTTCAAGTCTCACATAGTGTACCGTTTCGGTGTTCCACGAAGGGTAATCTCAGATAATGGTTTAGCATTCAAAAAGATCAACAATTTTGTCAATTTTGTCAAGCGGCACGGGTTATATTGAAGATATTCTACCATCTACTACCCTAGAGCAAATGGATTGACAGAAGCTTTTAACAAGACTCTCGTATAGATTTCAAAAAAGACATTGGATGAAAATAAAAGGGGATGACACGAGCAGTTATTAGAAGTTTTGTGGGCATACAGGACGACTGTCAGAACTCCAACTCGAGCCACGCCATATGCAATTGTGTACGGGTCCGAGGCCGTACTTTCCTTGGAAGTGCAATTACCTTCTCTCAGAATTGCAATAGCCAACAAGATTACAACAGAGGAAGATGCTAGACTCAGATTGGAAGAGTTAGAATCCCTCGAAGAAGAACGTCTGTCAGCACAACAGAATTTGGAACTCTACCAAGCCAGAATGATATATGTCCATGATAAACTGGTCCGCCCAAGAATGTTCAAAGTTGGTGATTAGTCCTGGTTCTTAGGAGACTTATTCTTGCACACCGTAAGATAGGGGAAAAATTTGAGCCAACTTAGGAGGGACCGTATGTGGTCGAGAAAGTTTATTCTGGAGGATCTTACCAATTATTAGATTGTCAGGGCGAAAGGTTTATGCTCCCAATTAATGGAAGATACTTGAAAAAATATTACTCGTCGTGACGATTCAGGGGATCCGGTTGTAGGTCCTATGATATGCCGATGCGATAACTGTTAGTGACTGGGTCTAAGAACATTGCAATAAAATTAACAAGATAAAATGAATTTCCATAAATAATAATAGTTTTCTTTGTTTTTTTTTAAATTTAAAGTTGTCATAAGTAAGAATAAAACATGAGCAACCTAAAGAAAAAATCACATGCCTAATAATAATGGGTCATTGTTCCTGTTCATTCGAATATCAGCGTGCTGACATTTCTCCTGTCTTTTGCAGAGAAATGTCGAGCGAAAGACTGATTTTCTCTTTCAAGAATGACATAAATCTCGCATTAAATAAGGAGAATGTGGCACATGAAGCCATCATTGACTTTGTCTTGGACTTTGAGCAAGTCAAATTAGAGTATGAGAGGCCCCTGTTAAGTGTAGTCAGCTCAAAGGAAGTGGAAGGTTTAAAGTCAGTACTCAGATTCAAAAGTAAGGAAAATGATACCGCTGCAAAGAAAAGAAAGCTTGAAAATGAGAAGAAAGAGAAAGCTTGGGGAAATGATGACCCGACAGGAGAAGTTGGACAGATGCGGTCAATGGTTTTAACAGCAGAAGGAGAGCTCATCAGCGCTCCAGTGGATCAAGCTCCAGCAAACTTGCCGAGAAAAGTACCGTTGACCCGCTCCCAGCGCAGGATTATCAGTTGAAAAAAGCGCAGAGCGCTTGAACGTTTAGCAAAAAGACAAGCTGAGGAGGCAACTTCAAAGCATGTTTTAGTTTCTCAAAATAAAGGAATGTCTGAGCAAGGAATTGAGGATGTTTCCCTTCAAATTGCAGCAGAAGAGCAGGTTCAGCCAAAGTCAGTAATGGAGGTTACTTTGTTAGAATACTCCCCAGCTGATCTTCATGAAGAATATGAGTATGATGTTCCTCGAGAGGAGTGCGTCATTATCCTAATAATTCAACGAAGTGAAGAACATCCGGATGTGGAACCATATATCCCGCAGCATGTTCATCCCAAGAGGTTGCAGATAATTTCTGAAGAACTGACAATGTTTCAGAAAGTTCGAAGATAAGATTTTGAATACTTCGAAAGAATACGGGGCAAGTATATCAACATATTGGAGGGATTAGAGTTGCACATTGATGTTTTCTTCGAGAATGAACAGAAAAGGATAGTGAAATATATTTTTGACTTCAAAGAAAGAGGTCGGGAAGGCCTGTTGCAGAAAAAGACATATTCAGAGTCCTGAAAATGGATGAGGGGCAAGTGCAGGATCACAATTCAGTTTGGATGTTGCTATAATTATGCATATGACAAAGATGGGAATCCCCTAGGGATTATTTGACATGATGAGGTAGATCTGTTACCACCACTTATGAAAAAAATGCTAAAAAAGATGGTAGAGTGACATGTTTTACCAGCAGAAAACGTGCCAAACAGTTGCATAATTAACATTTATGAAGAAGGAGATTGTATACCACCCCACATTGATAACCACGATTTTGTGAGGCCCTTCTGCACCGTGTCTCTCATCAGCGAATGCAATATAATGTTCGGGAAAGAGATACGGGTGGTTGGTCCAGGCGAATTCCGCGGATCAGTGGAGATCCCTCTTCCAGTTGAATCGGTCTTGGTTCTCAAAGGAAACGGGCAGATTTAGCAAAGCACTGTGTGCCAGGAGTTCCACAAAGAAGAATATCAATTACTTTCAGGAAAATGGATGACAATAAAACACCGTTTGGATATCAGCCTGATCCGGAACTTGAAGGACTTCGACCCTTAGAGTTATGAGACAGGCACTCCTGTGTGTGTGTGAGGGGACTTTTGTTTCGGAACATACCTTAGGAGGAAGGGTTTGTCTTTACATAACTCCAAGAGTTCAGAAGAATGGATATGGGATTAGGAATCTACATTTTGTTTTGATCAAGATTATTCTACGATCAGATTGTATCTCGATATATCAGATTTTGAAGAAATGAAGTTTCCTTTTTGCCATATGATGCTATTGATTTAAAGCTGTCAAACTAAATGATAATTCAGTCTTGCGATGAACAGGGAACAATGCAAAATGAAATAAAGAAAACCTATAAAATAAGTTAATTTAAATAAAAATTATAATGATAATAAGTTAAATTAAAATTGAAATTTGAAATTTCGGCATAAATCCCGTGCCGGTCGCCCGACGTAATTTTTTTGCCGGTCGTCTCCTTTAAAATTCAGCGTAAATCTCGTGTCGGTTGCCTGGCTTAATTCCCTTGTCGGTCGCCTCCTTTGAAATTCAGCGTAAATCTCGTGTCGGTCGCCCGACGTAATTCCCTTGTCGGTCGCCTCTTTTGAAATTCAACGTAAATCCCGTGTAGGTCGCCCAGCGTAATTCTCTTGTCGGTCGCCCCTTTTGAAATTCGGCGTAAATCCCCTGTCGGTCGCCCTATTACATCTAAACTCAAAACTTTCCTGATCAATTTTTGAGTTGAATGTTATTCTCAATAATATTCTCCTCAATTTGATCTTTTCCCTTATTTTGAAATCCAAAAAAAATTACTCGAGGCATGAAATAGATCAAATCCTTTCATCCTCAGCCAAAACCTTCAAAAAAATCTTCAATGCACTCTTGCCTTTGGATTGGGAACTCTCCAGCGGAGGACCCAATTCATTCATTCACTAAATCCTTCTCGAGTTTTGGGTTCCCGATTGGGAACCCAACTCAAGTTCAATCTCATATCAAATTCAAATCTTTGGTCGATCTACTTAAACATTCTTTGGTTTGTTGATCCATTCGGTCAACACTAATACGCGCGGCGAGCTTG